CTAAATCACAGAGAAATATTCTGCAGCTCCACATTGCTGGGATATCAGCATGAAGATGCTTCAGAGCTTGGCAGAGGAGAATATGTTAAAATAACAGGCTTTAAGGAGTCAGGATGCATCACTGCTCAGGTGGATAAAGGCTGGCTAATGAATTAATGGACCATTTTTCCATAGCAATCTGATGAGGAAAATGGACATGCCAGACAAAATGCGAGGCAGGAAATCCATTTACCTCAGCTTTTCCCCGGCCACACCTGCCAAGTGCAAGCTGGCGATTTGTAAAAGGGAAAGAAGGGAGAGGCTGTTATCCTGCGTGCCTGGGTGATCCAAACCCCCCAAAAAAAACCTCTTTGAGAAGCAGCACCACTCTAACTTGTACTTGCTAATCAGCAGCAATCTAAATTTCCTGGCAGCTGGAGCATCCCGAGGAGACTCCAGCACCCGAACAGTGTACTTGGATTTAATGTTCTCCGTGCACAGAGTAACTTTCTAATGGAGAAAAGTCTGTGCAGGCTCCTTCCCACCAGGATAAAGAGCCAGCAAAGAGAAACGTCATTCATTATTTTTTAAATTTCACGTGCAGCATGGCTATGCCTATTCCTGTAATCTATCCCTAATCCTTCTCCAGCCCCAAAATAACCCTTAAACCAACACGATTACACGTAACAAGAGTGGCTGCAAGGACCCACCCATGAAGTCCCAAAGCACAGCAAGTTCGACACAGCCAGGTTTTTCCTGGCTGGAGAATCCCCATTTCCACCTCGCCAGGGGTGAAATTTCACAGCTTCCACACTAGGAATTGCTCCAGCAGCCCTTTTCCAGAGCAAGGCTCGCATGCCGACTGCAACTACTCCATGCCCAGTTTTCCAGGCGGGGAATAGACAGGACATGGGTGAGGGCTTCAATAAAACAGCAACGAGACGATTTTTCCCCCCTCTTTTTCCTGAATTACTCTTTCTTTTTAAATTTATTAGTTTCTTTGCCGAGCATCAAGACAAAGTAACACCCTCTTGTATTTTTCCCCCTCTCTGCTCAGTGCTCGCTGGAAATTAACAGAGGCTTTGCTGCTGGGGAATGTCGCCAAGAGCGAACCAGGACATCCCTGAGCATCCTCAGGGAGCTGGATGGGCACTGAGTGTTCCTCCAGCTGGACCAGCAACAGTAAATAAATCCCTCCTGGGATTCTGCTGCCTCAGGATTTTACAGCTCCGGACAACAGCGGTGTGAAGCCCTGGGACACTGCAGATGCCATTATTTTATATCAAAATGAAACAAGCAGGGCCTGAAGGGGAAAAGCGGTGTCCAGATCCACACCCCGACAGCTTGGGGGTCTCAGAGAGCAGAGGGGGCACCCCGGGACCTCTCTCCAGGTGGGTTCCCACCCGCATCCCCCACGGCCGGGAGCAGCGCTCACATCCCCAAGTTCGCTCGGGATGCTGGCGGCCGGGGGAGCCACCCGCGGGGAGGGCAAAGAAACACCTTTCGGGGATGGAGAAGAAACACCTTTCGGGGATGGAGAAGAAACACCTTTCGGGGCAAAGGAATGCGGCTTCGGACAGCGGAGCACCTTCTGGGGGGTGAAAGGCGACACAGCCGTCCCACCCGCACCAGCTCAGCATCACCCCTCGCCAGGCGGGGGATGCGGGGGATGCGGGGGATGCGGGGGATGCGGGGGATGCGGGCAGCCCCCAGCCCACCCAGCCCGACCCTTCCCTTTACCTGCTGCCGCCGGGAAATCCGCCAGGTTCCCGATGCCTGCCGGCCCTGGCACTGCCCTGCCGGCAGGGAAGGGCTCAGGCACGGCCCCAGCCCCGCAGCCCAGCCCGGCAGCCCAGCCCGGCTCGGCTCGGCTCGGAGCGGGGCGGGCGCTGGGCCGGGCGGCTCCGCCCCGGGCAGCGCGGGAGGAGCGCAGGGACGACAGGAGGAGGAGGAGGAGGAGAAGAAAAGGAAGCTGAAGCCAGCCGTGGGGAGCTGTTCTCTTTGGGGTGTGCCCCGGCTGCGAGCGAACACCCCCCCCCAAGGGTTCTGCTTTGGGGGAAAAGGGAAAGGTTGGGGCACGCGTGGGTTGGGGAGTGCTTGGCACTGTGCCCGGGAGTTTGGGAATGCTGAGCCCCGAAAGGGCAGCGAGCACCCGGGAATCGCAGAATGGGGTAGGGGTGGTAAGGGACATTAAGGATCATCGCATTCCAACCCCCCCTTCCAATGTCCCAAGTTGTTCCAAGCCCCGTCCAGCCTGGCACTGGACATTCCAGGGATGGGGCAGGCACAGCTTGGGGTAGGAGGGATGTTTTGTGTTCCCACCTGGGTGGATAGTGGTGGATACAAAGTGCAGGTTTGGGCTTTGCAGCCTCCTGCATCCTCCCCCCCTTTCCAACTCACCCTTTTTTCTACCCCCTTTATCACCTGTACCTGCTCCTACATGAGATCCTGAACTCTCAAATGTGCAGGTGGACCTGATCTCCACACTGAGGCCATCCTGGTGTGGGGTCCTTGAGTTGTAACATTTTGGGAGAAGGACGAGTGTTTTGTTGGATCTACACCATGCTCAGGACTTGTTTTCCTCACACTGCAGCAGCACAGGTTATTTGGGATGAGAAGGATGCCCAGGCCTGCCCAGCACTGTGGCAAAATCCCATCTGTATCCTGGCTGTGAATCCTTTGCCCTTCTTGATGCAAGGTGACAAAGCACTTGGCTGACAGCAATGGATTGATCCAAATTGGCCATTTTCCACTTTTTTGGTCCAGCCCTGAAGTAGAGACTGATCCAAGCAGTGCAAAAGGAAGGGATGTGCTGTCAAAATAACATGCAAGCATGAGCCAAATGCCAGACTCCTCTTTACTGAGGCAGACTAAGCTGAGAGGTCACACTGGCAACTGGCTCTTTTCCTAGGAGAAGAAGAAATAATCCTGCTGCACCCAGCAGTAGGGCAAGACTGGAGGTGAAAAATCAGAATTTCGAGTCTGATCCAAGCCATGAGCAGCACAGCAGAGGAGCTGTGGGGTTGAGGTACAGGCAGCTGTCCTGGCAGCCCTTTGCCAAGTGCTCCTCCTTCCAGCACTGCTGACAGGAGACATTTCAGCATCACAAGCCCGAGAGCTGTGATTACCTTAAATCCTGATGAAAATCTATCCTGTGGGAGCATTTTGTTTGCTGCCTGGTTGTGGGTCCACAGCAGAGCTTTAGGATGTGTTGTCCTGCAGGCTTGAGGGTGGATGTGCAGGAGAGGACAGGAAAGATACAGATGCAGATATTTCAAGGCACATAACAAAGTCTGGTACCTTTGCCAAACCTTAAACATCCTTGGTTTTGTGCCTAAGAATTGCCTTTTAACTTCAGCAGAAAGAGTTCAGCCTTTTGTAAGATCAAGGGAAAAATATTTTTTTTCTGGCACTAAGAGGAAATACTCTTCAAACTCGTGAGGTTCAGAAACTCTGCAGATGCTCGTAGCACCAGCCAGTCAGTTCTTTACAGCATCCATTTGCTGAGGAAAATGCCTCTGGAAAGACAGAGAGTTTGCACATTTTCAGAATATTTCTGTGGCTGGGCCGCTTGAATCCGACCCAGGATCCTGCCAGGATGCAGGGCTGGGGAAGGATTTGTTCTGCAGCCACTCCAAGCAGCGTTGAGGACAGCAAAGGTGAGCACAAGGACCATCTCTGCCCCCTGAAAGCAGCACTTTGGCTGCTAAGGGCCGTGCAGTGCCAAAGAAAAGTCACTGAAGGAAATTTACCATGAGTTTCCATGCAGCCTCTAGGAAAACAGATGCAATTTTGGACAGGCAAAGGTTGGTTTCAGATTTATAAGCTCCTTGTCCCGTGCTGAGAGCCTTGAATGCTCCAAGCTACTTTAAATATCTCCTTTTGGCATGGGAGGGATTTCTGCTGCACTTATTCCTCACATTTCCAGCCAGCTTCACTTCCAAAAGATGCAGCTCTAAAGCCCTCCTGAAAACCCTCTGGACCCTGGTGACACTCCCTGTGTGTGATTCCCTTTTTAAATTGCTCCTTTAGGACCTGGCTCAGCTCTAAACCAGGGCTGAGTTTTGGGATTACACAACACATCCTGAAAGCGTTTTGTTACGTGCTTATGGAAGGGAAAATTCATCCAGAAAGGACATTTTGGTTTCCTGGCAGGGAAATAGAAGGCTAGCAGCTCAGAAGGGCATCAAAGCAAAGTCTCAGAGGAGTCACTGCTCTGGTCTTTGGTTGGGATGGATGGTGGGAGGGATGCTGCAGTTTTCTACAAGAGGGGGATCAGGAGGAATTGGCTAATTAATCCTTAAACTCAGCACCAGCCTTCTCCAAGAAAAAGTGCTGTTCCATCCCTTCTGTAAGCAGAAAAAAAACCCTTTTTCCTCCCCCCAGGGTCACAGGGGGGAAGTTTTTGATGGAGAAACACTTTCCTGAGCAGTCTGGTTGACCCAGACATGGCCTTGGACACTGCCAGGGATCCGGGGCAGCCACAGCTGCTCTGGGCACCCTGTGCCAGGGCCTGCCACCCTCCCTGGAAACAATTCCTGCCCAATATCCCATCCTAATCCTGCCCTCTGGCAGTGGGAAGCCATTCCCTGTGTCCTGTCTCTCCATGCCTTGTCCTCAGTATCTCTCCAGCTCTCCTGGAGGTAACTCCTTTCGGCAAAGAGGAAATAAAGGATGAAGCAAGCAAGGCTTGGGGGATGTCTGGCAGCAGTGGAGCTGAGCCGTGTCCGTGTCTCTGTCTGGAAGGCAAATCCCTGCTGTGGCTGCCCCGGAGCATCCGAGCAGCCTGGGCAGGGGAAGGAAGCGTGCAGAGGGACACACCATTGTTCTGCCCACTCCAGCTCTCGGGGAATGCAGGGCAAACAGGAGGGAGCTCGGCGCTTTCCTGTGTTTGTGCTGAGAATATTTTCATTAAAGTCCTTTTTCCTACCTCTTTCTCCAAGCCCTTTGTGCCTCTAACAAGTGCAAGGAGAGTGTTGATTGTAAGCATCCCCTCAGGCATAATTATTTTACCATAATAGCATTTACAGGGAGGTCTTACAGAGCCATTTTCCTGTTACTTCCTCTGTATTTCAACCTCTCTTTCATTTTTTTTTGCCTACTCAAGCTGCCCCAACAAGCCCTTGCAAGGTCTCCATCCATGCAGCAGAAGCCATGGTGAACTAGTGAGCTCTGAAGAGATTACTGAGAGTGAAAATGGGAATATTTGAGGTTACCCAGCAACTGGAAATGAAGATATCTTTTGTCCACCAAGTCAGGAAACACTGTTTGCACAATAGATGTGTTTGCCTGCTCTGGGGGAGTTAACCAGCAACCCCTTCCAGGAGATAAGAGGGATGTACATAAAACAGGAGGAAAGTCACTGGCAGGGATTATTGGAGCAGGTAAATCAGGTCCCTGTCACCCTCAGCATCCCCTGACGACTGCACTGAAATCTTGCAGTTTGGGGGAGGAAATAGGGATGGCTCAGTCATAAAAATAACAGGTAGATAAATATGAAATAAATATAATAACTATAAAATTGAGACGATCTGGAGGAGCCAGGAGCAGTTTTGGTGGTGATGGTGATGCACTGCAAGGTGAGGAATGTCTGTCTCCATCGATGTTTCTCAGGATGAAGAGCACCCTGTGCCTTCCTGTCCCTCTGCAGCCCTAAAGGATGTTGCCCTATATCACTGTCTTGGACAAACAACTCCTGGACTGGCCCCACAGCCCTTCAGAGGGATGGAGAAACACAGATCTGCTCAGTCCACACAAAGGGTTCCCCAGCTGAGCTCGTGGCAAGACTTAGTCCTGTGTCCCAAGCTTGTGACCTTTTATCTGCTGGCATTTTTTCCCCTCATTAAATACACAGTTGGAAGGAATGAAGCCATCCATAACCTCCAGCTCCTTCTCTCAGTATCAAGCTTAAGAGAAACACAAGTCTCCTGTGGAAAAAAAAAACAAACAAAAAAAACAAGTAAAATCATGTTGATATAGTACTTCACAATATGGTTTAGGGGCATGGTGAGATTTGGTCAAAGGTTAAACTTGATGATCTTGGACACCTCTTCCAGCCTTAGTGATTCCATTATTCCAGATATATTAGGAGAACTTGAGGGCATGTAAGTAAAGCCATCCCTGAACTAATTGGTTTTAAAGTAGACTTTGTTTAACAGCATTTTCTAGTGCAGTCCACTTAATAAAAAAATGCAGCTGAAACAGCAAGGAAGGAAATATATTTCTCATTATATGGTGCAAAACTTCCCTGCCCTGTGACAAGGGAGCTTTATCAAAAAGTGCTTCTGATGACATCTGACCAGAAGAGTCAGAGAGGATGAGTGTGAAGGCCAAACCTTGCTTGCATCAAAATCCCAGTGAGTTTTGCTGGAGGAGCTCCCATCACATCCACCCTGGAAGGAAAACCCCAGCGTTCTCCCAGGAGCTGCTTGCTGGCTGCCCTGTGCACACAGGGCTGCTTTGTTCCCTCTGCTCCCTGCCCACCCAGCCCTCTCCCCTTCACCAACACATTAATCAGAGCCTTTTGGCTGAGGCCTTTGTTCTGTGCCTGCACAGGAAGGTCCGGGCTCATGGATCACATTCCTGGTGCCAGCACGGGATGATCTTTATTGACAAAGCCGTCATCGATCTGCTCCCTCCAGGAGGACTTTCACCTGCTCCAGCTCTGGCCACGCTAGGGATTTGCAGCTGATGTTTGGATACAAACACAGATAGGCTCACAGTCAAACCCTTCAGAGATGTGCCCTGCTCCAGTTAATATTAAACGCCTCTGGAGATATCTCTGCATTTCTCCAGGCCGGGAGGAACCTGCTGCATTCTTCTCATACCTTCTTTGCAGGTACTGAAATAAAACCCCTGACCTGGATCCCTGAACAAAGCCCCTGTTATTCAGCCAGGCCAGGGGGAGCATCAGTTTTCTGATTCTCTCCATCTCAGAGTTTCCTTGGATGGAGATGTGGGGTTTGACCCCATCACAGAGGATGAAAAACCCATCCCAGCCTCAGCTCAGCCTGCCAGGGATGGAGCGTGAGTGCACAAACACTGCTGAAATTAAACACCCAGAGTTCAAAACCTCACCGTCTGAAAAATGTTATGTGAATCCATTTCTATTTCTAATAAAACAACAGCAAAATTTCTTCCTGTTTCAATATAACGTTGCTCTACATGATGCTGTTCCAACAGTTCATATAAATTTCTATAAACTTATTCTGTAAATTGCTTTTTGATGGGTGAAGCATAGCACCTGCATTCAGCTTTCCAAGCATCAGCAAGTGTGCACAAACACTCTTCTCTGTAAAAACCAGAGTGGCATTTTGGGGTTTATTTGGCCCAGGAGGGATTTGTTAAAAGATCTTGGAAAGAGGAGTCCTCCTTGCACAGAGGCAGCTTTTGGGTGAGCACCTTACAACAGCCATGGATGCACAGATTCATGGAATATTCTGAGAGCAGCCAGGACTGTTCCCAGCCTGAGGTCCTGCCCTCCTTTCTCCAAATGAATCCAAACCACTTCCCAAGCCTTCATCACCCTGAAGATGTCAAGGCCCACACAAAAAAATCCTTCATCCAACCAACTTTGGGAAAGCCCCCAAATGCTCCTTTGGGCTCAGTTCAGTTCAGCCCTTGGATCCCAGGCCATCAAGGAGGCTTCACAACCCAGAACCTGTTGGGCTTGTCTTGCTCCCAGCTTCCTGCTCAACCTGCCAGGAGCTGATCCCAGGAGGAGGCATTTCATCCAGACAGCCTCTTCAGCTGCATGGAGAGGGCAGAGAAACACTTCCAGCCTTTCTTCCCAGGGCCACACCTGCCCTGGATTCTGCTGGCTTCACCTTGAGCTTCTTCTGCTCTTCCTGGCCTTGAAGGCTTCTCCCTGCTCCAAAATCTCTCTGAAGTTTCTGATGCTGCAAATGCACCTCTTCGTCCTCCAGCCCAGAAGTTGCATTTCCCACTCCAAAACCTCAGCTGGGGTCAAGGTCCACCCCTTCAACGAGGTCCATTTTTTGACACCATGAAGAGACCAGCACCAACCTCCTCATTTCCAGCAGCATTTACAGCAGAGGCAGAGCCAGGGAATCTCCACTCCTCGGGGCAGATTTCCTCTCCTGGTCTGTGGGACAGGCCCACAAATGTTTGCTTTGACTCTGGGGTGGAAAAGTCACAACCAAGACACTCACAGTGTTCGCCCTCCGAGCCCAGCAGCCACCAGCAAGCTGTGCTGGGCACTGGGGCTGTAATGAGGAGAGCAAACATTATCCTCCATAGGTGTCATGAGCTGCTGCTGCTTTGAAATGCTGGGAGAAAAGCCTCCTTAAATAGTTGGGATTCCTCCCACCAGCACAGGGATGAGAGGAATAATATTTGGGAGAGGAACACACCCCAAATGACAGCATCTGTGTGAGGGTGGGAAGCAGAGAGCAGCCGGCATCTCCCAGCCACAGATGGTTCCCATCAAGAGGAATTTTTTCTTGTTAATCCCAAAACAAGCTTGGGATGTATTTTTATTTCAGTGTTAAGAGGAGAAAAAAAGAAAGTCTGACATGACCTCCTGTTTTTCTGGCCTCACTCCCTGCTCAGCCTCTGCACTGAGCAAGCACAGAAAATTTAGTTCATGTTAAAGGCAGGGACTCTGAGAACAAAATCCTGGGGTGGTTCTCCCAGCTCTTCTTGAGCTGGGAATTTATTCCATTCAAGCTGGAAATAGAGGTAAAAATCCAAAGCCTAGATGTGTATTTGAAGTATCTGGGCTGTTAATCAAGGCACAGAGGACATCCAAGTGCCTGTGGGGGTGTCAGCAAGGGTGTCCACTCTCCCCTTTAAATCTTAAACCTGCTTTGAGCACCAGGGATGGACTCCTGCGCCAATCCACTCCCAAAGCCATCATATGAGCTCAGGAGCATCTCTAGCTCAAAAAACCCCAAAAATAGTGATAAAAAGTTCTATCAGTAGGAAGATGGGAATTAATTCTACTCCCAAGACATGCTGAAAGCCTTGCTTTGAGGACTTGCCTGGCATTGCTCCGTGGCCTCCCTGGCATGTTGGGTGTCATGGTTCCACAAACTTACTCTGATGGAGCTGCCAAGAGGAACCCCTTGGCATATCCCAGGAAGTTTCCAAGGACAGCCATGGGTTGGGGATGTGGCACCCCTCCTAAATAATCAGCTGTGGGCCATCTGAAAGGATTCACATGGAAGCAGGGCCAGGAAATAACTTTTTCTCATGGAGTGACACTTGTGGTCCATGGTGGAAGCCCTGCTGCAAGCAACTCTACTTAGGTGGTGACCTCTCACTGGGAACTTTCTTTCAGATAGAACTTTCTGGGATATTTACACCCCCAGATGAGACTGGGCATCCCCCCTCCTCTCTGGCAACTCCCTGGAGTGACTCAGGACGTGCAAACACTGACTCATCCCAGCCTCCCAGGAGCATTAAACTTCCCACGTGCTCCAAGACAGAGTGGTGGGAGAAGGAAAAGGCTCCATTTGGCCCCCCCTGTGCCCCGAGGGAACACTGCAGATGCATCAGCAAGGTGGGGCAGGCAGGGCAGGCTGAGGCAGCCAAGGACTCTCTGACCAGGGATGTACAGAGATAAGGCCAACCTGGTGTGGGAGCTGCTGCCTAGTATGGGAAAAAAGGACTGGGAGCTGTCCTCCTTCTGGCTCAGGATTGGTTTAAAAAGGATTTGAAGAGCTGAGGAAGAGGATGGGGAAATCCAGGGTTGCTGTCTTGGCAGCTGCAAAAGGTGGTGGCACTTACAAAGTCAGCTTGGCTGCACAGATCCTGGATTTCATCAGGACAATTATTCCATACACGGATAAAAATATGTGCAGCAAACAGCACCGTTGAAAAAGCTGCCAAGCTCTCGAGTCTGTGAGCACCCACTGCAAATCCTGCTGGAAAACTGGGGAGGAACCTGGGTCTGCTTGCCAGGGATGATGTGGATAGTTCTCCTGGAGATCTGAAATGGAAATGGACATTCAGATACATAATTGGTCATCCTAAAAAAGCTGTTTCCTCGTGCCATTGCACATTGTGGGGGACAAAGCTCCCTGACCTGTTCTGCATGTGAGTCAGGGCACCACATTTGGCATTTCTCCTCCCTTAGTCCTGGGAAATGGTGGAGTCCAATCCCTGGCCCTGCACAGACACCCCAACAATCCCACCCTGGGCACCTCTGGCAGTGCTGTCCAAACGCTCCTGGAGCTCTGTGGGGCCATGCCCAGCATCCTGAAAGGGAACAACCTTTCCCTGATATTCCATCTAAACCTGCCCTGGCACAGCTCCAGCCCTTCCCTGGGTTCTGTCAGACACCAGGGTTCTTTCCCTGCTGTTCCAAGGGGGCAGGATGAAGCTGGGACAGATCTCCAGGTGACACCTGAGAAAATGAGGGCTCCTGAGTGTTGTCCCTTCACAGCAGAAGCAGAAGGGATGTGAGATGGGACATCCCTGCCCATTGAAGATTACAGCTCAGCCAGGTCAGAAGGATTGTAGGAGTCAATCCTATTTAAGCCTTTCTATTTAAAGGAATAAACTACCCAGGGAAAAAAACCAGCCTAAGATTAGAAACTCACAGGATTTCCTCAAATTCCAGCCATCAGCCCCAGATTCAGCCCGAGGAGTTGGTTTGTTTTTCTTCCAGAGCATGAATCCTGCACCCCAGCAAAGTTTGGATTATGCTGTGCAGCTCCATCACAGACCCAAAAGCCGTGCTCAAAGCTGGTTTAGTGCTGCTTCCTCTCTGCCTAAGCCATCTCCAGTATCCCGATTAAAAATAGTTTTTAGGCAGGAGAGTTTTGGCTTTTTGCACAAGCAGGGAGTGTTTCCTGCAAATTCCATATTGTGCAGGAGGATGCTCCTGTGGAGGAGGATCTTTCAGAAAATTAAATGCTAAGCAGGGTGGGAAGCATAAATAAATGTTTTTCATTTTTCTTGTTTTGGGTAGGAAAACAACTCAAAGACCACCCAGTTTCACCCCTGCCATAGGTGGAACTTCCACTATCCCAGGCTGCTCCAAGCTCCATTCAGCCTGGCCTTGGACACTGCCAGGGATCCAGGGACAGCCACAGCTTCTCTGGGCACCCTGAGCCTCTCTCACAGGGAGGAAGTTCTTGCCAATATCTAATCTAAAATCTCTCCCCTCAGTTTAAAATGACACAAAGGATGTGGGTAAACCAGGCAAAGTCACCCTGTGCTTTGTGTCTCACCAGCCAGGAATTGCCAAGTCTTTTGGGATTTGATACCTGGCTCTGCTGCTTCTCCCTAAACTGGGTGAAACTCCAGCCTAACTTACCTTAAAGCAGGAAAATATAAAGCCTGTCCCTAAAGGGATCCCAAAGGAATGAGGAGTCCCTTCTGCCCCAGCACTGCAGCAGGATGGGCGCAGTTGCTTTTTCCAGGCGTAGCACGCGGGGGGTGACTCACTGCTGGCAGGAATTTCCCTCTCACCCATCCCCTCCTGCCCCTCTCCCTGCCTGGAGGATTTCCCCCAACACCAGCAAGGGGTAAGGGCAGCTTAAGATCAGCCAAGAAGCAGAGACCTTCCCCGAATCCCTGACATTTCAGCTGGCACACCTGTGCAGGGACAAGAGGTCTCCACTCCCTCCCAGCTGTGTGTTTTGGGAAGGAGGGGAATTCTGGAATACTGGGCAGAGCTGCCCCATCACGAGGGCAGGGAGACTGGCCACCAAAAGAGAGATGTATCATGTGCCAGTTGTCCCTGTGGTGGCCTCAAGGTGCAATCAGAGCTGGGCAGGGCACATGAGGAAGCTCAGCCCTTGCAGGAAACCTCAGACCAGCTGCATGTGCACAAACAGGTCCAGCAGGAGCCATGCAGGGATGACCACAGAGCCAGGTAGCCCATGATTCATGGGCTAACCCTCTGTTGAAGCTGCAGTCACTCATTTCCCACCTCCAGTTCTCCTCCAAGTCAAGTGGCAAAGCCACAGGGCCACAAGGTGCCTCTTGCCATGGCCACCAAGCACAGCCAGGTCCCACAGCTGACAGCAGCAGCTGCTGCTGGGACACGAGACCTCAACTCCACAACACAGCAAGGGATCCAACCCTGTGGGATTTAGTAGGTTCAGGGTAGCCTTGGGGGACACCTCCATTTCTCAAGGTACAGAACCTGCAATGAGATCTTGGAAAGCTGGAAATGGAAGGGAAAAGTCCAGAGGAAGACCTGATTTTCAGGAAAATAATAGAGTCACAGAATCACAGATTGGTTTGGGTTCAAAGGACCTTAAAGCTCATCCAGTTTCACTCCCTGCCATGGTCAGGAACATCTTCCACTGTCCCAGACTGCTCCAAACCATGTCCAACCTGGCCTTGGACACTTCCAGGGATCCAGAACCAGCCCCAGCTTCTCTGGGCACACTGTGCCAGGGTCTCATCACCTTCACAGCCAATAATTCCTTCCCAATGTCCCATCTAAATCCACCCTCTTTTGGTTCATAACCTCATCCAACAACTGCTTACCCTGACAGATACAGCAGCTCAGGATGTATGAAGGGCAGAGATGTGCCCCCCTCTCCAGGTGTGCTTTTCCTTCACCAGTTATCCCAAAAACACCAAGTCTCCCTTCCCACCCCCCCCCCGGGCAGCCACAGCTTGGACAGCAGTGGAAAATGATTCCTTGAATGAGTGTGGCTGGATCAGCTGACTAGGCTGGCTGCAGCAAATCTTGTGGTCACACAGCTCTACATGTGCAGCAGTGTCTGCCTAAGTCTTTCCATTTACAGGACAGAGAGGGGAGCAGGGCGTGTGGAAATAAATCCTTTGGAAGCAGAAGGGTTTGGAGACAGAACTCCCTCTTCCCCAAAGGAAACACGTGGTGGGGCAGAGAGGGTGGGCAGCAAGCACGGGTCAGGCATGGGATGGAGCTGATGGAGCATCACCAGCTCCGTGCTTCTGATGAGCCAAAGTCAGGGAAAGGCACAGAGCTCTGGGAACTGGGATGAGAACGCTGGGGCTGGGACCTGCCTGCCAGGCTGGGCTCTGATGCAGTGCTGGAGTGCTTACAGGAGTGTGAGGCCCCTCCCTGCCTCATCTCTCTGAGCCCTGACTTCCCCATAGGAGCACAACTCCAGCTCAGGAATAAATCCCAGTGTCTCCCAGCTCTTCCCAGGGCAAGCTGCCATGCCATGGTAAAGCAGCTCCTCCCTCCAAGGCAAGCCCCTGAGCTGCAGCTCCTTGGGAAGGCAGCCTGGTGATGGACTGTGGCAGGGAATAACAAATACCTTTAATTCCCCCTTCATCCAGCAGCTCCCTGTGGCAGGCAGCGTGTCCTGAAGGAAGGTGAACAGGGGGCATCTGGAGTTGTGTGCACAGGCACTCACATGACTGGTAAATCACCCCAGCCAGGCTCTGAGAACCCTGACAGGCTCTAATTTCTCTCTCCTGGATAAACAGAGGGTAAAACTTGCTGCTTCACTTGGTTATCCCAATGCAAGGGGCTTTAAGCAATCCCTGAGTTACCCTGCAGGGATTTTCCTCACTGCTGGCAATTGTAAAGTCAGAAGAGGAAGGGATCTGAGCAGGAACTGCTGCTGAGGTTTCATCTCAAATATCCATCCCCTGAGCATGAGTGTTTCAGACCTGTAGGGGTTTTTTAGGCCCATCAGGGGGGTTTGCTGGCATTGGCACCAGCACCACTGGGGCTGCCAGCTCTGATCATGCTCGGGGCTCGCTGGTGACCAAGACCAGGCTTGGGCTCCATCCAGTTCAGATCCAGTTAATTAAAGGAAATAAAAGACTTCCCTCTACAAGCCAAACCCCCTTTTCTGGGTGTTGTTTAGTGGGAGGCTGCAGTTCTGGACCACAGCTGAGTGGGAGACCTGAAGGGTATCCCTGCAAACCCCCTCTGGGGGCTCCAGCCTTGTGTCATGTAGGAAGCCAGCCCTTCCCATTCCCTGCTAAAGGGATTGCCTGCTGCTTGTGCATCCTGCCACATCCCTCCAGGACACATGGACGTGTCCCAGAAATAGAGAAGCTGTGGCTGCCCCTGGATCCCTGGAAGTGTCCACAGCCAGCCTGGACAGGGCTTGGAGCAGCCTGGGACAGTGGAAGGTGTCCTTGCCCATGGCAGGGGGTGGGAATGGAGGAGCTTTAGGGTCCCTTCTGAGGTCCCTCTGACCCAAACCATTCTGTGCCATTATTCTTATAGGATTTTATATGAGAGAACTGCTTTGAGTCACTCCCATCCCTACAGACTTTCTGCCAAGATTCTCCTGCAGATCCCATTTGTTCCTTGCCTCTCTCCTGTAGGCACACTGCATCCCCAGCCCAGCCTGGGAGGGATTTGGGCAGCCTGGGGAACCCTCTTCAGGAGAAGAGGATCCTGCAAGTCTCTCAAAAAGAAGGAGAAGGACTCCCTCTCTCTGCTCCCAGGCAGAATAGCATCTTTGAAACTGAAAGCTGGAAAGACAAGGAATCTCTGCTGCTCGGGCACCCATGCCCATGCTCCCACAATTTGGGCTTATCTATACTATCATCATCTTATTTCTAGTGATAACTCCAATAAATCACAGTTGAAACTATATTTGGCAGAGTCTGAAATAAGTGAAGTTCCCCTTCCAGGCCAGGCTGGATGGGGCTTGGAGCACCCTGGGATAGTGGAAGGTGTCCCTGCCCATGGCAGGGGAAGGGACTGGGTGATCTTTAAGGTCCTTTCCAACCTAAAACAAGAAAAAACAACAAACAAGCAAAAATGCCAGGGGTTTCTACATCCATTTTGGCTTCCATTTTTCCCTCCTGGCCCCTGCTAGCCTTGTTACTCCTCTTGGCTCTGTTTTACTCCTTCCAGCAGGGAGGACTGGCCTGGAAAAGCATCATTCCCGGGGCAAGTGGCAGGGGAGCCACCTCTCCCTGACAGAGGGGGACTCCCAGGACGCACTACTGGTGCCTAACCCGGGGCTGTGCAGTGGAGACCGAGCCTTTCCTGCTCCTCCTGCAGGGATTGGTGCCTGGGGAAGGCTGGAGCCAGCCCGGGATGGTGCCGGAGCCGGGCGGCGGGGGGAGCAGCGAGACCGGGACACGGGACACGAAGCCCGAGGATGGAATGTCCCTGCCCGGGGCAGCGGCGCCTCCCCAGGCTCGGGAGAGATTCCCTGGGGGACAAGAGGGGCTGGGTTTGGGGATGCACGGAGGGGATGCCGGTGGGATCCTGGCTGGGCACTGCTCCCAGGGCTGCTGTGGATGGGAGCAGGGTTTAAACGAGTCCTGCAGTGCCCTAATTGGATCTGTGTGCTCACAGCTCTCTGTACTCCTGAATCCCAGCCAGCCCCTCTCTGTCTCCACTATTTTTAAATCCATCTATTTCCGCTGCTCTCTCTGCTTTGGTGCAGCCTTTTCCACGCTGACACTTCTGCAGCCCAGAAATCCTAAATATTCTCATTCTCCCAAATGTTTAAGCACCAGCTGCACTGGGGACCAGGGGAGCTCAAGGACAGCAGTGCAGGGGCTGTGCTGTTTATTGTGGGTTTGTGGCACTTTCTGAAGCATGGGAAACTCTTGGCCAGAGCCAGAAGTGTATTCCCAGTGCAGGATTCAGGGCGTGGGATTGGGGCTGGGACATAGGACAGAAACCCTGGAGGCAGTCAAGGCTGGAGGAGGTTTTTCACCCTGATCCAATCCTAAAGGACAGTAGCCCTGCTGCCCCAGGGATGCAGGGCTGGCACCAAGGCACAGAATTATCTGTCCAGCTGAAGCCAGAGCACTGGCATTTTCCAGCTAATGGGACACCACAGGTGATGAGGCTCAAAAGGACCTCTGGAATACACAGTGCCATGAGCCCAGTGCTTCTCACACCCATATGGATTTGTTTCCACTGACTCTGCATCAACCCTGTGGTGCCCAAGATTCCTGCAGGGCTTTGTAGGTGTCCCCCATCCTGCCCCACCTTCCAGTTCATACCTGCTTCCACAGGGTCATTGACCATGGACCTTCCTGAAAATGCCAGGGAAGTCAGGAAAGCTTCAAGCAGTGGTGAATTGCTGGATTCATGGCACGTGGTGAACCAGAGACAGAGCCCAGACTGGATTCACTGTGCATCCCACAGCTGATGAACATGCCTCCAGCAGATCCAATTACTCTGTTAACTGGAATTAGGGAGAAAATCATAGTTAAATTGTTAATTCATCAAGACAGGCGCCATCACAGTCACTGAAAATATTTCTGGATTTGGGGAGGTGAATTTGGAAAATGAAGACGATTCCACAAAGTACAAATTGCAGTTTCTCCATTATTTTGCATGTTCAGCACACAGCTTTGTCATTGGAAAACACAACAACCAGAACTGGGTATTCCATATCCAACAGAAACCCTTGGAAGTTCAGGATTTGAGTTTTTCCTTCCCACTAAACTGCAGCCATGAGTTGCATCCTGAACTGTTCAAAACTCAGGAGCTGCCTTAATTTCTTTGTTGCTGCTTTTCTGTGTTCAGGCAGCAAAGGAGGTTGAAATAATTCCCAACTGGATGGGGCTAAGGCAGATCCATGCAGGGGAGGAGGGCAGCTGTAAGAGGCTTTGATTTGCACATGTCTGTGTAACCACAGCATCCCTGGGTCCCAAACCAGCAGTGATCCCAGGAGGATTCAGGTTTGGACGTCAAAGCCAAAAGAGTCCAGAAGTGCAAATGATTTCAAAGACTGAATCCAAGCTGTTTGTGCATGGCTGGGAAACATCCAGCCCCTTCCTGAAGGGAATCAGGAGTGAAACAACGATCCTCATTCATCTAAACCTTCCACCCCACCTCTCCCAAGCACCTCTGCCCCAGGCTGAACAAGAGACCTTCTGTACAGAGCCAATTTCAGCGGCTCTGATGCCCCCTCCAGTGTTGGGAACAGCCTGTCAGAACCAGGGACATGCAGGAGATGTTCAATGTGCTGAGTGCTGGGCCAGGAGCTTGGACTGTGCTACCTGGAGGTGCAGAGAGAGGCAGCTCCTGCATCTCTTCCCACTGTAGGAAACACAGTTTGGATCCACGTTGGAGAAAGGCATCAGTCATGGTCCCACAGGCTACAAAAACAAAGCAGAGCCTGTTCCTGCCTGGGCAGAGAAACCAGAAGCAGGGACAGAAGACAAGGATACAGAGGCTGCTCTGGAAATCCAGAGGACCCCTTGGCCATGTGATCCATCTCTGCTGGATGAGATTGGAGCTGGGATAATCATAGTCCCACACAGAGCAGCTCCACATCCTGGGGTCCCAGCCCTCAGCAGACTGTGCAGAGAGGGAGAAGATGCCTCTGGGACTCCCTGTCAAGCCCTCAGCATCCCTGTGCAGAAGGAAAGCAGCAAAAGCAGCCTGGCTCTGATTCTGCCCCAAACTCACCTTTGAAGCCTCAGCCTCCCCAGCTTTTACAGAGGATCATCAGCCTTGCCCAAATTTATAAAATCCTGGGGCTTCTGCAGATGCAGATCTGATGTGATGAGTCAGATCTGCCTTGTGTGACTCAGCTGGCAGATCCCATCCAACAGCCACGGAGCTTCCCTTGCTCCAGGATCCATATCTGCTGTTCTTACTGCCAAGTGCATGACTATTCCCAAAACTAAACACGACTGTGAGTTTCTAAACACCATTTGGAATGACCAGGAAAAAAAAACCTTTCTAGCTTCATTCTGAAATGGGAAACAGAGAAGAGTTCACTGGATGATCCACAACTTTCCTCTCTGCAAGTTACAAAAGATGGAAAACAGAGAGTGGGTTTTGCTTCTAAAATTAACATTACTCTGGTGCAGGAATGTGGCTCTGCAATACCAGGAGCTGTGGCAGGACAGGGATGTGACCCTGGAAAAGTCTTTAATGTGTGGATGCAGCCCACTGGCAGCTGCAATAAAATGTGAGTGGCTCCTTCTGAAGCTCCCAGGAGCAGACGTTGCTCTGCAAGAATGCAGCAGGGTTGCATCATGTGGGCTCCTTGAATCTTCCAGAAACCTGCCACTTGTTCCCTGCCAGATTTTCACAGGTAATCTATACAGTAGCTGGGAAAAACACACTGCAATTTTCTGCTGGCATATTTGAAGCAGGCAGGAGCATTCAAGCTAAGTGAGGTTTCATGTGAGGACGCAGGGAAGATGTCACTTTTTTCCTAAGGGTCTCTGGCCTGTTGCAGACACATCCTAAACTGCCACGTTATGGGTTAAGCCCCCTGACCCAATCTGGACCTATGGCAAGGGACTTTTGCCTCCTAGGTGGGTGCATTTTATCATCCCAAGCAAAGTTGCAGCAGCTCAGACCTGGACACAAACTGGTTTGGTCCCACCAGATCAGCATAACAACCCCAGGGTTGGGGCATCCATCATCCTTGGAAACTAGGGAAGGATGAAACCTCTTTTCCTGTTCGGTTTTACACTAAAGGAGAGATTTTAGATTAGATACTGGGAAGGAATTGTTCCCTGTGAGGGTGGGGAGCCCTGGCACAGGGTGCCCAGAGCAGCTGTGGCTGCCCCTGGATCCCTGGAAATGTCCAAGGCCAGGCTGGACACTGGGGCTCAGAGCAACCCGGGACAGTGGATGAGGATGGGACTTGATGAGCTTTAATATGACTTCCAACCCAAACCAGTCTGAGATCCTGTGATTCCTGCTCTATCTCTGGGCAGCTTTTCTGCTGCCTCTGCAAGAGCAGAACAGACAGAGAGGCTGCCATGCCCCTTCCTAAGCACCCCTTGGCTTACACATCCTCAGCACTTGGCTGAGGAGGATTGCACACGCTGTTTATTCCTGCTGGGCCACTGGCCAGTGCTGAGCCCAGCGTGTCCTTCCTGGGATTCATCCCTGCCCTCCTCCTTTCCTGCCTTCAAACTGCTGCACCAACCCCCCAAAGTCCCCAGGGCAGCAAACCCAGCAGCCCCAGTCCTGTGCTCAGTCCCCTCCTTCATCCGGCATCAACAGTGGCAGTTTTAGAGCTTGGCTTGTTGGGAACCTGATTCCCAACAAGGAAAAGACTTTTAGGGACAGCAGTAGGACTGGGGAGACAGGCAGTTGTGTGACACACTTGCACACGCAGCACAGGCTGAGCCCACCCCGCCTCCCAGCCCTGAGCAGTGCTGTGCTGGAAGCAGAAGATTGGCTGCCTGAGGATCCCTCTCCAAGCCAGGCTCGGGTTTAGGGGCGTTTCTGTTCCCTCAGCTGGCTCCAGAATAAACGGTTTCCTTTTACATCCCGGTTTCCTCGGGAGGGGGAGCGTGTGGGGCTCAGCCTCCTCTCAGCTTCCACCAAATGTGAAGGGCAGGCAGAGCTCAGACCCTTCACATTCCCATATACTCCTGGAAAATGCCAGGAAGAGATGAGGGAGAACTCATTGCAGCAGAGGCAAACTCAGCTTTTAACAAGATTCCCCACCACAGCTCTGCTCTGTGAAGAGCAGATCGACCACCTGGGCCTTCTCTGCTTGTATTTTGTGATAAAGGGTGAAAACCTGGAATTGGCACAGTCCTCGTTGCCTGTTCCCAGTGAGGAAACTGATGTTACAGCATCCCAAAGTCCTGGTACTCTCAGATCCTGTCCCTGAGATGGCCCCTGTGCCCGTGGGGTTGATGTGACTGACAAACCAAGCACTTGATTTTCCTTTTGGCTGCTTTTTGGGAGGATCCAGCCAGACCCAGTCACTGTGAGGCAGCAGGGAGATGGTAAGGGATACACATCACCAGTGCTCATCTTCGAATCACCGAATTTAAGGTTGGAAAAGTCCTCTAGGACCACGGAGTCCAAACATTAGCCTGGAAGGGGCATCCTGGAGTCCTCTTGGCTTACCACAACCCCAAACCAGTGCTCCTGGATCAGTGTAGGAACAGCACAGGACCCCATAGCCCCTTGGGGATTGCAAATTCTTGCTGCCACATCTACAAGGATTCCACCTCCTCCTGCCATAACCCATTTCCCAGGAAGGTGTGGGATGCAGGGGCTTGCAATCCAACCTGCCATCACCCGTGCTGGCCCTCTGCTGAGGCCACACAGATGTCATTCTTTCCACCCGACAGCACCAGAGGAATTCTGCCCCCTGCCTCGCTGTGTTGGCAGGAAACCCTGTGGATTTTGAACTTTTCTCTGCGAGTATTAAACAGGGATTACAAACTGGGATCAAGAGAATCTCTCTCTGCTGTGCCCTGTGGGAAAGCTGCAGCTGCAGCCTCTATAGCCTGTGCTCCCTGGTTTGTGCACCATGACGTACCTGGATGATGCCCTGGATGGGGAATTTGCTCCATGGCAGTCAGGTCTTCTCCTCTTCCTTTCCTGCCTCCACCACACCTGCTCAGGAAGCAGAAGGAGATCGGTGCTTTGCAGAGGATCCACAGAATTTGCCCCTTTTAGGACAGGTCAACCCAGTGAGCTCCCTGAAAGCCTGGAGCTCTGGGCACAGCAGGCTGCCACAGGGAGTTGGGCTCTCACTGCTGCACTCCAGACAGGCCAGGGCAGGGATCCATGGGATGCAGCCTTTCAGCTCCACTGCCATCCTTTGTGTGCTGTCTGCTCACACAAAGCTGGGCCCTCCCAGCTCCAGCCAGGCCAGACCTGGGCATGGCTGAGAGCCAGAGAGGGGGAACAGGGCTGGGATCCCACTCCAGTGCAGGGCACTGCTGCCAGCAAAGCCACGGCTCCAGGACGCCTGGGGCTGCATCAATGAGCTCACAGTGCCAAAGGAGGTTGTGCAGGGAGGAAATTAAAGTGCTGATCCCAAACTTACCCTTGAGCTGAGCCAGGAAGCAGAATTCCCCCAAAATCTTTACATGTGGGGACCTGGAGGATCAGGAAAACCCTGACTAGCTCTAGAGCAGAGAGGGATCCAGGGAGAGCTCAGAGCCTCTTCCACTGCCTAAAGGGAGCTCGTGAAAAAGAGGCAGAGGGATTTTTTATAAGGGCAGAAAGTGACAGGACAAGGGGGAATGGCTTTCCACTGCCAGGGGGCAGGGTTAGATGGGATATTGGGAAGGAATTCTTCCCTGTGTGAGTGGTGACACCCTGGCACAGGGTGGCCAAAGAAGCTGTGACTGCCCCTGGATCCATGGAAATGCTCAAGGCCAGGCTAGACAGGGCGTGGAGCAATGTGGGACAGTGGAATGTGTCCTTAGCCACGGCAGGGGTGATTTTAAGGCTCTTCAATGCTGGCTCCATGCATCCCTGCCCTCCTCAGCTGTAATCCTGGAAAGCAGAAATCCTGCACCAGCACTGCCTCACAGCAGCACAGAAGATGACAGACTGTCTCCAACACAGGAAAACAGGGTGAGTCTCCTGGGTCACTGCAAGGTAAAAGTGCAAAGCTGCTGGAGTTTATATTTAAAAAGTCCTGTCCAAAGAACACACAGTGTCTGCTTTCGTAGAAATAAAACACTCCTTCAATAGATAATCAAGTGAATTAGTAACACTGCTTGGAACAAGAAGCCAAAAAACCAGGTCAGCACCCATCTGGATGTTTCATGACTGGACATGGATTGTTTCCCACAGAACTGCACTCCTGGTACAGCTGGATTTCACTGCTCTCCATCCCAGCAGCTCCTCCACACACGACTGCAACAACGTCCTGGAAATCTCCCTCTGCTTTGCCGTGGGGGCTGTAGGATCACACCCATGTCACAAAACTTCGGGTGGATTTTAATTGAAGGCTCAGTGGATCTGCACTGCCCTAAACCCACAAAGCCAACCCAGGCTGGAAATAACTGCAGACAAAAGAAACTCGAGTTTTGCCCTGCGCAAGTGCGGTTTGGAGGGGAGGAGCTGGGCTGGAGGAGTGGATGTGTCCCTTTGGCAGCTGGAACCGCTCATTACACGAGCAGCAGAGACGGAAAACGGCAACTCCCAGTTTGGCTCCCCCTTCCCATCGCTGGAGGAGCTCCTACGTGGCACTGTGGGGGCTGCACAGCCCAATCCGCTTGGAAGTGACTGGATAACAGCAGGAATCCTCCCCAGCAATGCAGATCAGCCTCATTTCCAGAGCGTTGGCCCTGCACAAAACTGTTCACAGTCAAGATGAAGTTGTTTGCTGACATTTTGGTGGAATTGATTAATTTTCTGCATATTCACATCCTAAAGCTCTGCAGGGTTTTTTTGTGACTCTTACCAGGTTGTGTGGTAGAGACAGCAGGAATAGGTTGAAATATACACTAAAAAAATCAGGAAAAAAATGAAATAGCTTTATGCTGGACTGCCAGCCCTCAAACACAACTATTTTCATTCTACTCCAAATTCATGTTATTGAGGCCAAGCCAGTTTGAAAGAACTGAAGCACAGAGCCTCCAGAGTGTCAAAGGACTTTGGTGCTGGGAGGCAGTGAAAGAAATCAAGATGAAAAATTTAGGAGTTTATTCTACATTTCACTCGGAAGGTGAAAAAAATCTTTACATGGGAAGTAATTACAGAGAAGGGTATGAAGGTGGAGCAATTCAGAATTTGGCAGAGAAAAGCAGCTGACAGTGGGAGTTTAAAGGACCTTTTCTCATTTCTCAGCTGGCACATGCTGCTGGTACAGACCAGTAACATTTACCTCGGTAGTGATGCTTTGATATCAGCAAATTCATTTTTAATAAAGCCAAAATTGTGCTATAAAAACTCTGGGACCTCATTGTTGATCATTTATGCAGACACAAAGCAAAGCTAACTGCACCAAAATACACTAGTGTACGAAAATCTGTTGCTTAAGGTATTCCAAGGGTCTTTCTCCCACTGAATCCCTCCCTGAAGGCACCAGATCTCTAAACATGACTGAGAACCAGTTTTGTTGCAGCTGATGGAGACTTTTTTTACAGAGAGGGCCCCAAGATCTCACCTTGTTTGAGATGAGAAGTATCTACTCACATGGCACCATCTGAACGGGTCAGATGGAAGGAAAATGTCCCTTTTTGATGCTACCTTCTAGAACAGGTGGGAATTGATGGAATATGAAAGGGAATGGAATGGTGAATCCAAAGCAAGATACTTCCAAGACAACAAGCAGAATATTCAAAGCCAGAAGGAAAAGTGAGATGCTGTTTGCTACCACAGCAACAGGAGGCTGAGACCTGCTCAGACCCCTGTCTTCAGAGGAAAGCAGAAAAATCTGTCAGAGCCAAAATTAGGGGGGGAAATGAAATTACAATGTGATTAAAAGGGAGACATAGACATCAGTTAAAGAACACAAGGATGCAGCATCCTTCTGCTGATGCAACCATTCGTGAGGTGGGTGGTACCTCAAATATCCCTACATCCCAGATTGTCATGAAAACAATCCTGTGCTGTCCTAAAACGTGACTGGGTTGAAACTGAACTTCAACACTTGTGATTCAGCAGAAACCTCTCCATGGCACAGCTTCTCTGGGCACCCCGTGCCAGGGCCTGCCCACCCTCCCAGGGAACAATTCCTGCCCAATATCCCATCCATCCCTGCCTTCTGCGAAGCCATTTCCTGTGTCCTGTCCCTCCATGCCTTGTCCCCAGTCCCTCTCCAGCTCTCCTGGAGCCCCTTTAGGCTCTGGAAGGAGCTCTGAGCTCTCCCTGGAGCCTTCTCTTCTCTCTTGGATGTCACCAATCGGGGCACATTTCAGATGGCAGGATGGGCAAGTGTTAAACATTGGCTGTCTGTGACTGCTCCAGTCGTGGCTGAAGCCCTTTGCATCACCCCTGACTTCATAAGGAGGCCGACAGCCCAGAAACACAAAAATAAATGTATCACTACCTGCCTTTGGTGCCAACAACCATCCAGCTGCAGGAGATGCCAGGGGCAGGGAGAGGACGGAGATAAGATGGGCACAAACCCTGTAAAAAGGCAAGAGCACAGTTTGGGTAGGGAATAACTCCCAGAAGCTGCTGGCTGGGCTCAGGCAGGGGACAGGCTGGGGACAGGCAGGGGCAGCTCCAGGCGCGGCAGGAGGAGGGAACGCGCATCCATCCCCCCCATCCATCCCGACCCCCCTTCGGCGGCGCGGGGCCGGCATTCCCTGCCATTGGCGGCAGGCAGAGAGAGATCTGGGACGGATCCTCCCCTTCCTCTCCCTCCCAAGCATTTTTGAGAGGGTTTTCCCAACTTTCCAGAAGTTTCTCGCCGGCCCCTTATATACCCCCTCCGCAGGACCGGGAGGTGCACAGGGAGCCGAGCAAAGCCGTGTCCCGACCCCGCAGGTAAGGGGGGGACGCCGGGCTGGCAGGGTGGAGACCGAGCTGAGATTGCAGCTCTGGGTGCGGGTTGGGGGGGGGGTGGATTTTGGGGTCCTGCAGCCTCCTGGCCGGGCAAAAAAAAATCGGGGGGAGGGTTATGGCATGGGAGGAGGGAGTGCGTGGGGGGTAGGCTGCAATGGGGAAAAAGGGGTACGGACTGTCCCGTGAGCTGGCTCTGGGTTTTTGAGGAAAGGTATTAAAAAAAAAAAATCCCCCAATCGCCTCCAGTTTGCAAGAGGTGGTCACAGTGAAGCTGCAGGAGAAGCTTTCAGAGAATGCCGAAAAAGAAAAGGGGGATAAGGGAAGCTTTAGCTCGGTGTGAGTGAAATCCTGCAGCTCCTGCTCTGGCTTAGCCTGGGAGCCTCCAGGACCTTGGGCACCATCCCAGCGCAGGAATGAAAGCTCTCCCTGCAGCCTCCAGCCACAGCACAGCCCGACCCGTCCTTCTGCTGCCTTAACCAAGTGTCACATCCCCCTGGTGACACGGAAATGGCCTTTTGCCTGCATTCCTCTGCCCTGCAGCTCTGTCCTGCTCCTGGGAGAAACACGGCCCTCTAAAATCCCTTTGGTGCACCTCCAAATGCCGCCAGGAAAGCGGGTCCCGGCGGCCCCAGGGAAGGCTGTGGAATGCCACGCTGGCACTGGGCGTCCCCTCGCTGTGGGAGCACAGGAGAGGATGTTGCTGGCTGTGCATTCCCCACATTCCCTCCATTTTCACCATGCCTTATGAATTCACCCATAACCGCTGCCATAATCCAAGAACGGGCAAAATTTCCCCATCTTTGGGCTGTGTGACTCAGCAGAGCCCAAATCTGTCACTCGGCCCTGAAATAATGAACCTTTTTTTTAAGCTGAGGATGAAGCAGTGCAGGCCACCCCCCTGCTCACAAGAGAACTACTCCATGTATCTGTTTTCTTTCAGAAAGAAAAAGGCAAACGTTGACCTCACTATGAAACAGTTTCAAGGTATCCTTAGAAATAAAGGGGAAATAGAGAACCAGAAGGAACCTTCTCAGACCTCCCATGTTTGTCACCCTGGCTGCACTTTAGAAAAGTGTCGAGGCCAGTTCTGAGCCTCCTGTACAAAT